AGGTGAGCGCTGGGGGCCATCCGCATGTCGGTCACGGCAAACCGGGTGCGGTGTGACAGCCACCCTCACTTTGTCCTCAAAGAGAGGGATGCGGAGGCAGCAGATGGCGAGGCCGACGATGCTGCTGGAGAGACGGCGGTGAAGCAGGTGGTGAAGAAGAAGAGGGCACCGAAGAGAACCGTGGAGGCGAACCTGAGCAACATCAACAGCTCCGAGTCTGAAAGGAAGTGTGAGGTATGAGCGGGGGCACGGGGTGGGATGGCGTGAGGTGCTTTACCTACCTTCAGAAGAACATGGAATAAAACTCCCATACCTGGTTAATCTATGGATGCCTTCATTTAATTATTGTCTAGTGGAAGTGTTTCGTGATGATGATGATGAATCTCTGATACTAAGAGCCCGGAGGACCCTCACGAGTTTCAGTGGCCTGTTCCCCCTTCCTCCAGGTGGATCCCATGTTCCAACGCATGGCTTCCTCCTTCGACGAGAGCAGCACGGCTGGTGTCTTCCTGTCTGTCCTCTTCAGCGAGGACAGCCGCTGTGAGCTGCTGTTCCCCTCTCACCTGAAGCTGCTGCGCTCTGAGCCCCCCTGCCCCGCCCCGCCCCCGATGCACGTCCCAGCACAGCCCTTTAAAGGTGAGCCTGCCCCCGTCCCCTGTGCCCCCCACCTGCGCTGCGTTCCTGCCTTGTTCCTCCTTGCCACCCATACATAATGTGTCCACAGACAGTCTTCAGCAGGCACAGGAGCGCAGCTCCATCTGCCCGTCGCTGAAGGACTTCTCCTTCACCAGGTGGAATCCCGACCAGGTCAGTCCCCTGCATGTCCCCTGGTTACGCGGCTGACTGATGTGGCCCAGTTCCTCATCCTGTCTTGTTTCTACTTCCCTTCAAATTAATTCACCCTGATTCAGTTGACATGGCTCATCGCCGCATTAATCGCTCAATCAAAGCAGAGTTGAAGCAGACCCCGGTGGTCTCACATGCTCCCTCTCTCTGGCGGGTTAGACGATGAACCAGCTGCTGGAGAAGATGATGCAGGGAGAGCACGTGTTTGACGTGAATGCGGAGGTGGAGCCGGAGGATGAGCACTGCCACGACTTTGGGGATGACTTTGACGGGGACGACTGCGACGGGGGCCAGGGTGAGGAGGAGCCCAGAGAGCACAAGGCGACCTGCGCCATGACGCCACTGGGACGGGGACGGTGAGGGACCGTGAAGCGAGCAGCTCTACATGACGAGGGGAGGGATTGCTACTAGAGGGTAGCAGCGAGGGTCTCGGTGCTCCGGTCTGAGTGTCACCGCTCTGCCCCCAGGGATGTGATTGAGATCAGCAAGGGAGACATCAACACCATGTGCCTTCAGTTGTCCTCCCAGCCCAGGGAGTACTCCTACTTCAGCCCCAGGACCATGGCCACGTGGGCCGGGCCGGGCTTCTGGCGGTTCAAACCGCGCCACAAGCGTGAGTGTGTGCTCTATCGGACCGCTTTCTTTCAAGACTTTTATAGATGCCCCCTCAGTTAAATCTCTGCATCCCGAAGTCGTACCTGAGCCTACTCCGATCTCTGTGTGTGATTAGAGGATCACATCCCTGACAAGGACACCCAGAAACGAAAACCCAAGAAGACCTTCGAGCTCAACTTCAGCGACGACATCAACTTCGACACCTACTTCCGCACCACGAGAGTAAGTGCCCTCTTCTCTTGTGAAACCGATCGACCTTCCTGAAGTATTTGTCTAGCGGTACAGGTTTAATTATTGACCCATGCTGACTGTCCCTGTGTCCGGATCTCCAGGCAGCCACCACAACCAACAAGTCCGCCCTACACACCAGCAATAAGAAGACCACCCTGCCGGCAGACTTCCACTACCCCCCCAATAAACTGTCCCAGCTTAGCCTCAAGCCCTCCAGCACAGTAAGTTCCACGGTGCCCCCTATCACGGACAGAAGATGATGCCTGTGTTGCGCTGACGGCCTTGTCGTTCTTGTGTGTTCTGCAGCTGTGTAAGCAGGGTCCGAAGATGGCGTCCGGAGCACTTGGTGAAGACATCGGGGACTATGACTACGACAACGCCAATGACACGGCCAACTTCTGTCCGGTCCCTCAGGTATGGACAGCATTTCTCCCCAACGCATAGACGAGCATCTCCCTCAGTGAGCAGTGTCACTGTCAACTATGGCTTTGGAGCATCTCACCATGACATGCATCTGCAGGGCGGCTCGAGCGACGACGAGGCCGACGGCTTTGGAGGGCCGGATGACGGCGAGGTCTCGTTTAACACCGGTATCGAAGGCTTTCCTGGAGCATCTCAAGACGATAACATCTCCACCTACGGGGGAGACAACTTGGTGGCAGAGCCTCAGAGGGTAGGGGACACTCGGAAGTCTGGCCCATGGCGAGATGGACGGGAGCCGCCCATTCTGTTACTGCGAGTACTCCAACCGGCATGGGCGCAAGCCTTCACAGTGTTTTTGGCGGGAATCTGTTCCAGGTGAATAAAATTGAGATAAACTATGCCAAGACGGCGAAGAAGATGGACATGAAGAAGCTGAAGACCACCATGTGGAGCCTCCTGACCAACTGTCAGAAGGATCCAGAGAAGCTGGTCAAGGTCAGCTTTGCCTCACATGGCATTTCTCCTTCCGCATCTCCTCGCTTTCCCTATTCCTGCCGCTGCCCCACCTCCACTTTGATCCTCTCTGCCACCAGCTCATCATAATCTTTCCCCAGCAGGAATCGGAGAATGTAAAGGAGGTGGTATCTGGGGAGAAGGCTTTCAGCGAGACCACAAAGACCCTCCTTCAGAGGTACCTAATGCTGTCTTTTCAGGGGTCCATTTCATGTGTGATTCATCGTTGATCTTTTCTCAGAGCATGTTTCTCTGTGGACTTTAGTACCTCTGTACTCCCAAACCATCACCCCCATGAAGACTCAGATCTGCTCTGTTTCTCTACAGGCTGCCCTCCACCATGGCTCAGAACCTCTCAGTCCCGCTGGCGTTTGTGGCCCTGTTGCACTTAGCCAATGAGAAGGTGGGTTGGGGTTTGGGTTCTGGGTAGGACCGGGCGATATCATATCGATATTATATCTTGCATGCACAATAATCACCAGGGCTTCAGATGACAGACTTTTCAGTACTAAACGGACGTTTATTTACGCCCACAATTTGTTAAGCAAATTAATAGTATGACTAAAGTGTTGAGGCATTTTATGATGCCCAAAAATAAGTTCAGCATGTCCTTATGTTTAATAAACGTGTCAGAATTGCAAAAAGTACCACCACACCACCGACGTCTTTTTACCTTGTTTATCCGCAAGATCTCCTCTTTTAAAGATGTCATGGCTGCTGAGCTGTTCCTTTCTTCACTGACCCTTCAGTGCAAATCGCACTAAAGAATACCATACATAGTATACCACACATAGTATACCACACATAGTATACCACACATAGTATACCACACATAGTATACCCAAACAGCATGATGTGCAGTGCTCCACTAACCAAATTTAATCAAGATTGCTAAGTTTTGGGTGTTACAAAGTGCATCTCATTAATATTTTAGCTGTACTACTAATCTGTTTACCAAATATTGGGCTTAAATAAATGCCCGTACAGTATCAAAAAGCTGGCGTTCGGCCAAATGCTTGGCCTTTGATCTGAAGCTCTGGTGATTATTGCGCATGCGCCATATAATATAGATGTGATATCGCCCAGCCGTAGTTCTGGGATGCTTGGGATTTGCGGGTGCTTGCTTTTGTGGTATCAGCTCACACGTATCATACAGACCAGACATGTCAGCTGCTGGCTTCCAGGAACTGGTCAGGCTAGATGAACATTCCGTCCATGATCCACTGCATCAGCAGTTGACGCATGCTGGTAGCTTCTGGAATGGCCTGAGCAGACGGCCATTGTGCCCCACGCTAACTTGGACTGCCTGCTGTGTCGCAGTGTTTTGGAAGTGGAATGCCCCCTAGTGGCCGAGGTGTCCTGTGGGTGAATGTGCCTTTTGCCATATTTGATGTCTGGTCTCTTCCTGTTTCAGAACCTGGAGCTCCTCAAAGTGGACGACATGTCAGATATCATCATCAAGCAAGGTTCCTGAGGCCCTGCCTTTTACAGGGTGTAAGACACTGGCATCATGCTGTTAGAACATTCTGTGTTTTTTCGCTCTGTTCTTAAGATTTTTATTTAAACTCTTGTGTTTTAATTAGTTACCCCGATTTAATTTCTTAACAGTCACGCTCCTCTGGTTGCTTCTGTATATCTTTTCTCTGGTTCAGTCCATCTTGTCTACATGTTTTCTGCCCTTCCCCCATCTCATCACTCTGTACATATGAAATAAAGCATATGTTTTTCTTTTTTAAAGAAATGTCCCGCTTACTTCTGAACGTGACATGCTTCAGCTATTTAATATATCTTTGGGGGGGGGGGGATGATTGTGTCAGGCTCTCATGAGCTGGGTGTTCTCCTGACGTCTGGCTTGGGTGAGAAGTCAGACTGGTTTGGAGGTGTTAACGTGGCCTGGTATGGCTGGGTGGAGTGGAACAGAGAATGGAGACTACGTCAATTACCTTAGTCCTGGCTCAAGATGTGGGTCTCTGACACGCCCTCCCCAGCTGTGATTTCAGTCGTGTGAGAGAATAATGTTCTTATGTACGGAGTTTGCATTTATTATTAAAAGTTTGATAGTCTTGAAGGAACACCACCATGTTACTGAAAACTTTAAATCATTGAAAAAGTTACTGCTTTCAGAGGCAATAGCACTCTAATACCTCTGACTCTAAACTCTAAGTTGTGTCCCTTTGATGAATTTGTTATGTAACTTAAGACATATGACATGGAATTTAGTTTACATTAATAAGTTATTTTTAGCAACATTCCGTCAGATCCCATCATCAACCACGTAAGAAATGCAGCTGGGAAGCAAACTTCCTGGTCGCTCAAAGACAGCTGCATGGTCACCTGGCATCCGACGGCCGCGGACACGTGCCTCGTGCTCGGTCAGATATTAATGCAGCACAAACCATGCATAATTCCAAAATCACGGTGATCGTATAGCTTGTTGCACCTCTACTTCACCTGTTTCCAGGTGAGCGAGCCGCGTGGCGATGCCCCCCCTAGTGGACGCAGGAGGTGGCCACACTCTTCAGAGGCGGGCCGGAGCGAAGGAATTCACTCAGAAATAAAAGCAGGAAGCGGAGAAAAAGGCACACGGACGTCGGCCGGACAAGTTGCCGACGATCTCTCTTGTTTCGGCTTGTTCGGGGCTAGTGGTTGTTTCCCGATTTGGCTTTTCTGACGGATCTGTTGTAACTTTTGGATTTAAAAACATGGAGTCTAACATGGTAAGTGGCACGATCACCGTCCGCGTCCCCCTGCAGTGCTCGGAAACTTCACCACCGTCGCCCCGCTTGTTTCTCGGTCCCATTTGATGATTTACTTGTTTGGCCTGTTTTGCGAAACCGTGTTTAACGAGATTCCCGCGGGAATCAGCTGTTACTGGCCGCCCGATTTCGGCGTCTTTAAGACGAAAGAAATGGGCGATGAAAGGCGGAGCAGGAGCTACAGGTTGTTTTTCCGAACCTGCGTTATTCGCTGGGGCTGCGGACAGACATCGCCGGTTATTCTGAGCAGATCTGCATAGAAATGACTGAGAGAAATAATTCAAAGTATGTTTTGTGTAAATACGACACTCCTCACTGCCCCCGAATACCGGAAAAGCCATTTAAGTTAATAATCGGTCTCCATCCAGCACGAACAAAAACGACCGAAGGGAATCGGACTTTAAGTCTCTTTTCCGCTCTCGGTGGTTTTACTCAATTGACGGAATTTCCTCATATCTCAGCTTCCCCTGTCCGAGCCCGCGGGCCATTTCTGCACACATGCCCATGTTTCTTCGGAGCATCGCCCCTGCTTTTGGCCCAGATGATACCCGTGAAGACCCCCCACCCCCGTGCCGTCCGGCTGCTTCATTCCTGACCCAAAGACCCACCGAGTGGTGAAGACCAGAGACACTAAAGAAGGTCCCGCAGACTGACCCTGATCTCACAGCAATGGGCGCTTATTATTAAACATCACAGAGAGTATTTACATTTACTGACATCAGCTCTATTCAAACAACAAAGTTGCGCAGCGGTTATGACAGAAGTCCAGACAGCTGGTTCACGGTTTTACCAACTGGTCAGCTGGCTGCCATGAAACAAGTCTGCCACACATACACATGCATTTATGTGTATGTAACAGTTTTATTACCTTGTAAATAGTTTGTAGGGTTTGTAAACTACCCCAAGGCTTTTGATGTGTCTAATTTTAGGTTTATAATGGAATAATAGAGATTTCCCGTGAGACTTCTTGCGAGTAAGAGTCTGAAAGCGTGAGTGTCACGCCAGATGCGTTTGTTAATATTTGGGTACATGAAGATCAGAGCAGGTAGAGAGAAGGTACCACAAGGGGCAGTTCTTTGATGTTGACTAAAAAAATGAAAATCAATCCCTCTGCAGGATTTTCAATGTGAACCCTAACTCCTAGCTCTTTGATGTTGTGGAGAGCATTTTCTACTAGAATGACCTAAAACCTTTTTCTGTTTACTCCATGGTGCATTTGGATAGAACTGGCCATTAGTCTCTTCAGAGTCTCTCAATCTGTACTGTCAAGAAAGCTCAGGAAAAAGTACAGCTCTATGAAAAACAATTAACAGGGCCCTTCATGATGTAAATACTGTAACTGTGGTGCATATGAGCTTACGGCTGCCTTTACTTGCTGCTGCTGCTGGTTTGGGTGACTGTGGTACCCAGAAACCAGTACGACATGGACTGACAGTTCCAGTTTGGGCAGATAACAAAGTTGCTGGCCTGTGTACTGTGTGTGTGTGTGTGTGTGTGTGTGTGTGTGTGTGTGTGTGTGTGTGTGTGTGTGTGTCATGGCTCTTACTGAACATGGAGACGCCGCTCTTGTTTGTTGCCTTGGAGCAGCTTGTCACCTGACATCCGTCAGCCATTTGGCAGAGCTGGGAAAGTCAGGGGTGGGGCTACTGCCGGCAGCAATGACGCAGCACCTCTCCGTCTCCTAGTAACCGAGAGTGTCACCTCACTGGAGCAGGGCGTGTCCTCCTTACCTGTACACGCACACAAACGCATCATTGATTCCTCTCATTGTTTCTCAAAGTACCTGGGAGAGATGCAGACTGATTGTATGAGAACCAGATCTTTGTTTTGTGATTCTCCCCTATCTGCGATCCATCTGAGTGTTTTGCCCTAGTGTGATATCCGCAGACTCCTCCATCCAGCTAAACAGCCCTTCAGCGTGGCAGTGAAATGCAGTGAAACCAACCTAAACTTGGCCGGCTGAGGCACTGCGGCCTCGATACTGTAAAATCTTCAACTGTTTTCACACCATCAGGGTTCTACGGAGAATTTTTTTATAGCTGAAGTGTTATATTTCGCAACTTTTTTTTTTTTTTTTTTAAAAATTTTCTGTCTTCTAACACATTTTAAATGTGGGCTTCAGACTCCACACTTGGGCTGATGGTGAAGTGTTGGGTGAATGAAAATTTAAACTTGTTTTTAAACCTCAGGAAAGACAGATTCTGACTGCACATGCGTAGTTACACCAGTTGTTATCAGTTCTGTCCCTGGTGCCCCCCCACCAGAATATTTTAATTCCAGTCCTCCCTTAATCAGGCTTACATGGTCCTTAGTAGGCTAATAATGAATGTGGCAGGTTGAAAGTGTGGTGGGGTGGAATGAAAACATGGGCAGGATTTAGAACCACTGAGTTAGTGACACTCTGAGGAAGCCTGTGTCTGTGGATAATTGCATAACTCACCCCCCCTTATCTCCTGATCCAAAGTGTATCGGCGATTTAAATTTTTTCTTTGGTAGTTAAACACCCCGAATCGGTTTCACGTTTTCTGGTAGCATTCATCTACTCCTACCACACAACTCAGTTTTGTATTTATTTCCCATGTGAACCTTCGGTGACCTTGATGGACTCATAGATGGTCTTAAGAAGCCTCTTCCAAGTGACACTGCCTCAAGAACTACCTTGGGTGCCACGGACCTCAAGGTCCCCTTGCTCGTCCCCATTCTCTTACTTAATCTCTGAATATGAACTCTTTCTTCAACCTGGGGAACGATGTGCTGCATCGTCTATGTGCTGCATCGGCATGCAATGTGGAGTCAGCCAAGAGCTGCTATTTCCCAGAGGTCAGTGTTACACTGCTGGTCTTTTTCCCTCCATCTGTGCCTCAGTCGGTTGGTCGCTCTTGTCCGTCGCTGGCAGACCCCGGCGGAGGGGATGGTGGGTGTGGCTTTGCCCGTAGGCCCCTCCTCCATTCGGGGAGTCTCTCCCACACCCTGCTCCTCTCGCCTGCTCATGGCCACTTCCTCTTTCTCTCCTCTTTCTCCATCGGCAGGAGCAGGGTGAAGCGCCTGTGCAGCAGGACCGTGTCAAAACCCTGCAGTCTCAGGTGGAAGGGGTCAAAGACATCATGACCCAGAACGTAGACCGCATCCTGGCCCGGGGAGAGCGTCTGGACGATCTGATGGGCAAGACCGAGGACCTGCAGGCTGGGGTCCGTTAGCTCGCCCTTCTCTGCTCCTCCACCTTCCGGAAAATTCTGGTGCCACCTGTAGATCAGTGGATGTTTGGATGACATTTAAATGAGGCCAAGGAGGCAAATGTATGCAGTACTGTGCAGAAGTCAAAATAAATATTTAAAGCTATTTATCTGGGTTGTAATGCACTTTTGCTCAGAGCAAAAAAACACAATTTAGCATTAGGACATATGCAAATCAAGAGTAACACTATAAAAACTAGTATGAATCTCTTCTGTCCTCCAGAAAGTTACTGATATCTAGTTGGATGGCTAGATGAACACCGCTTCAGTTCCCAAACCTCTCCTTAGGGGCACCCCAGCCATTCTATGTGTTTGTTACATTTCACCACCAGCTCAATTAATTAATTAACCTGGCTATTCCATTTCCCACTGACTTGTTAGACTATGTGAGGCGATCTAGTGAGCAGCACTTCCTCTAACCCCATCCCTGACCTCTCTCCAGGCGCAGAACTTCAAGCACACCTCACAGAAGGTGGCGCGGTCCTACTGGTGGAAGAACGTGAAGTTGGGGGTGCTGATCGCGGTCATTGTCGTCATCATCATCCTCATCATCGTACTACTGGCCACCGGGGTTATCCCAACAGGCGGAAGCAAACCATAACTGCTCCCTCACACCAGAGCTTACAGAGAAAACCTCACACACACACACACACACACACACACACACACACACACACGTGTACATTACGTCGGTGTGGCCCTGGATCTCGAGGTCTGCTAGTTAGATTTAAGCATTTCAGACCAGTCAAAGCTGGCCACCGCCCACCTCAAACATCTTAATAAAAACAGGACTGAGCGCCGGAACCTTCTTCCCCCTCCCCATCTCCCCATTTCCAGGCCTGATTCATTTATGGAGTGAATGAGGTCTGAGGTTCTATGATCTGTACTGTGTGCTGGAGGCTGTAATTGTTCACATGAATATGCATTATAAAAAGAGAGGGGATTTAAATTGCTACTGCAAGGCTTGGATAAGCTGTTATCGCTGTAATGTGTAAATTATTGTCACGTTGGTATATCTGTTATTTGTATGTTTTTATAGCACAGATAATCTCTTTATTCGTGAGTTGTGAGGGTTATTTTCCCTGTGCTTTTTGAGGCTCTCCATGGGGAGAAACACAATTTTACAATTATCCTTAATTCTGGTGCCATCCTTTAGGTCTTAAGCGAATCCTGGACTAGTGAGTGTCTCTGGGCTGCTACCAGAGGGCCCAGTTTGATAATGGGACACAAACCGGGTCATGGGGATAATGTAGCTTGTTTCAGCTTGTTTATTTGTGGGGACCAAACCGACCCCCGACATCTTTGGCATGTTTGCGCCGTTCCCGTCAATCTGTCTGCCACACTCGGTCATTCCGTCCGGCGACTAAAGGGTGTTACCAGTGTAACAGAACCCGGACTGTCTGTGTAAACCAGTTAATGAGTCAAATTAGTGAAATGGCTTTATGTCAGTCAAATAAATTGACTTGTTTCCTGCTGACCGCTGTATATGTGTAAACATTTTAAATTTTACCCGAGGAGCCTTAAGATATGTATATTGTGTGTGTGTGTGTGTGTGTGTGTATATGTATGTGTGTGTATATATTACATGCAGACAAATGTTAAACATAATAAGGTTAAAAGTGATATTTTCCAAAAAATTTATAGCACATGTAAATGTACTTTTATTGGCTTTGTGGATTAATTCATAAACATTGGATTTTAAATACCCTACTTCACCTATATTTATATATAGTTTAGTCATTTTGGTAACTTGTCTTTTATTATAGTCTGAGATGCAGATGCCTGTATAACTAGCCCTGCAATACAGCCCTGCTGTGGAAAGTTTCTGAACTGGAACATATCGCACCCTGTAGGCAGGGAGGACTAAAAATTTGCGCAGTAGATACATTGATTGTTTTTAGATGCTCTTTCCTTTGCTGGTGGGGGGACAGCAGCCTTGGTCTTGCTTGTTAGTCATATGGTCCATGGATGAGCAGTTTACTTCAGCTGTAGCCTGTTTCACCTGCACTGGGGCTGTGTGTACATCCACCATACAGCCTTGTGGGACGGGAAAGCAGGAGTGAGTGTACACCTCCTCTGCTGTTACTAACCCTAACCCTCATGTTGTATATATGATTATGTTTGTAACATTTGTAAACAGACAACCGTTGAGTTCTTCCTCATCGTGTTCATGTCATGCCTTGGTTACAGAACCCTTAATTATTGTTTTCCAGGAAAGATCAGCCTCTCCCTGCTGTGAAGAAGCAGGGTGTGCAGAGGGTTATCGCTCTGTCCCGACTTTCCCGTTACGCAGTCCTGCAGTCAGGACTCATACTTTCCATTAACCACCCATAAAACATTTAAAGTGTTACATACTTGTGATTTTCTGCATCTGTTCTGCCCTTGAAGATCATGCCTTTCCTTCCCTTTAACCAGTGGAGAGCCGCTTGTGACGCTGATCATGCTGCCGTTCTCTGACAGCTGTCGCTCAGCCCCCCTGCCTGCAAGCAGGTTTCAGCAAAGCGGGGGATGAACTTTCTGAACTTTGGATGTGGCTGCTTCTGGGATATCGGGCCAGTTGATATATGTTATGCTGCTTATAGAGCACGTGAATGGAAATGGCTGATATTATCTCTTATGTTACAATAAACAGCTCCTGCTAATTCAATCAGCAACTTCTGAAATGTCCTCTGTATTAGTATAAATACACTTCCCATAGGGGGCGATAAAGAACCTATGTGGACATAATGTGCCGATATGCATCGACATCCAGCAGAGGGTGATATTGGGCCTTTATGGAAATACTGGGTCCATGTACTGGGGCAATATTGGATCAGTCACAGATGATATTTAAAGTTTCACATGAGTCCAGTGTCAACTGTATATTTGGTACTAAGTTGAGTCTCCAATTCAATAGTAATTAGTATTGTTTTCTAAGCTTCTTTTACATGCCACACTAGCATAGCATTCCCTCATAAGGGGTTTATCACTGAACCTCTATATAAAGAAAACATATGGGCCCTATTAAACTAACCCCCCCCCTCCTTCTGGAAACCTTGGCCCATACATCTGCCTGCAGAAAGAATCCGGCCCCATAACTGGCAGATCGCAAATTCTTAAAGTAACAGAGCTAACTTTCCTATGTGTGCCTGCCCACGTCCACGGCCTTCCCCCCCCC